GGGGAGGTATATATGGAAGCAAACAAAAGACCTTTCTGAAAGGTACAAAAAAGGAAGTGAATCGTTTGCAGGGGATCAGTGACCAAAGAGGTGGTACAAACAGAAGAGCAGGAAACCAGCCCTAACACTTCTGTTTTCAAGGTGACCCAGTGAACACAGGTAGGGAAGCAATGCTCACAGGGTTGAGAGAGAAGACCACCTAGGGATCAAAGAGTATAGAAAATGGGTAGGATTGATCTGGGTCTGTATGAGGGCTGGAACCCAGCCTAGTCAAAGGGCTGGAGGGTGGTGGAGGTGGAGGGGATTGAAGCAAAAACAGATATGTGGCTCCTAGGTCCACAGACCCAAAGAAGACCATCTGTGTGGGCATTGCGATGAGGGATTTTCTCCACCTGAGAGAAAGGTGAACAAAAGACCATAGGAAAGGGCAGGCAGACCGCAGGGGGTCATGCCACCCCTTCTGGTAGCTGACCCAAAGTCAGCTTCCAGGCAGAAGAGTGGGTGAGGAAGGAGTATTATCAGCCAAGATGGGTCTAGTACCCACAGCTTCGCTGTCACTTGAGGCTGGGACTTGGTGGATTGTTATGGGGACCATGGCAAAGACTCTGTGGAGAGGAACAGCGATGGTGGCCTACTGGTGAGCTGTTTCTTGTCCTATGTCCTAAGTAAAGCTGATGCCAGTGTGGCTCTGGTGGTCTCCTGAGTCTAACTAAGTTTCCAGTTAAGCAACCTACTAGGTATTCAACCACAAGCCAGTATACGATATGAGGCTTCAAGAGACCTCATAACCTACTATTTTGTTAGGCACTTTATCCCATTGTCCAGTACAATGTATGGGCCAAAGCAAGAGCCTAATGAAGAATGGGAAAGCAACAACCAACCAACAAACAAGCAAACAAATAAACAAACACAAAAATTACCCCGGGACTTCAAAAGGAGGTGAAAAACTCAGTACCTTCTTCGAAGCTTCTACAAATCTGGATTAAGTCAGGGTACACCTTCATGTTGACAGCGCTGAACAATGCTTCCAGAAATGACCGGCTAAATGAGTTCTCCAGTTCATTGAGAACATTGTACACCACTCTTTGTACAGGAACCAGGTTTCTACAAGACTCTTCAGCATCCTTTGAATTAAATGGAGAGAACAGGAATCCCAGTAACATAATACAAATCCCAAGTTA